AATAAAATGAAAATTTTTGAGGAAAAAGTCAATTCAGTTTCTGCAAACGACGTTTCGGACTTAACCCTTCTTCAGGTTCAGTTAAGTTTTCTTTATGGAAGCAGCAAAGGTAATTGCAAAGGTAAGCGCAAAGTGCCAGAGCACGCGCACTGTTCTGGCAATGTTCGAAGCTTCAAATATGCTGCAAACAGTATTACGGCATGAGGAATTTAATGCCCAGCTTGGGAAAAACATAAAATAAACTTTGTGTTGACAACCGTTGTTGTGTTTCTCGAGGACACTGAACTTTAGACTTAACCGTTTAACCAGTTCAAGATCTTGCGCAACCATCCTTAATTCCATGTGCCTGTAATAGTCGTAATATACACAGCGGTTCAGCCAATCGGAGCAAGCGCAAAACCCGTCCACATTATAATACAAAACGAAATTCCTAAGAGATCAAAATAAACAATCAATATTTGATATCGGCGACCACTTCATGTTCATCGGTTGCAATAATTTGTCGAGTAAATTGCTTTTCATTTTGAAAGTGATTGAGAAAGTTGTGCTACTTTAATGGCTGTTTTATGCCGAATTAAAGTTGGCTTTTCGTTTTAAAAGCAGCGTTGAAGCGCTTGTACAATCATTGTTTGGGATCTTTCGCTTGAACAAACTTTCGCAAGTAAAAATGCTAATTATAATTGTCAGCTTACGAATTTATTTTAGGTAGCTTGTCGTGGTGTTTCATTGCAGAGTTACAAAGAAACACCGAGAACAGTGCACGTTGAAAGTTGACTTTCATGTCGAACTGTTTACCTACTTGAAGGCGCTTCAAGCACTGAATTACGTCATCGGACTAAAATGACAAGGCCTCCGGCGGATACGACGCTTTCAGAACCAGTGTCATTTCACTTTTTGAAATGCCCGAAATTAATACAAGAGGTGAGCTGGTTGGTTTTAGTTCATATTTCGTAGCTTTTTGCTTCATCCAGCGACAAAATAATGGGAAAGCCATGTACTGATTCAGAGAAAGGAAATCAATTTTCTTTTTCTGTCTTCGAAGGCTTCGACCTCTTGAAATTACGGAGTTGTCCAAGTGATACAGAAAGACTGCCACCTGAGGGACCAGTAGCATCGTATACAGCCTGTGTATGTCCACAATCTCTCCTTCAAGGTGAGAGCTTTGCCAGTCGCAGTCTAAAGCCAGAAGTTTTGAACAGATCGCATGAAACCGCGGATAGCAGAGAAAGCTTTTCCTCTCGCAAAACTCCACAAGCCGTAAGTAAATCATTGCCACAGACGAGGCAAGCAGTAAATGCTATGCTGCAGAATGAAAGAAGACATGCTCCTACTGTGACTTTTATATTGGGAAAACGGGAGGAAGTGTCTCCAGTTAGAATGCAGTCTTGCCCGCCCTCGACCTCCAGGGACAAAGACCGCCATACAGGGAACACATTTCGAGAACGAAAGTTCAAAGGTGAATATTATGGATCCGCACTGAGCAGTGAAGGGAAAAGTTCAAGAAAACGCAGAGAATACACGGAAAAACGTTCAAACCCGGAGACAATCACTATTGACCTTCCCAGCTCTACCTTGAGGCCGCTAACTGTCAGTGACGTAGAGTTCGAGTTTGAAGAAACTCTGGCGTCAGAAGAAGATTATCGTGACGTCAAGAACAACATTCAAGAAAGAACACAGGTCAGGAAGGGCTCACATTTCCTCAGACAACACGGTTGACAATTAGGAAGCAAGCAAATTTGCTTGCAGAAACTGACTGTAAAATGTCACGCACTGTCTGTAAAGTCACGCAATATTGTGACCTCAACAAGGAAAAGCGAGCACTGGCTCCCAGTCCCCTAGATGAATTCACTCGAAGGCAGCTGGGTTGTAACCTGAAGCTTTGCCGCGAAAATCTGGAACTAAATGAAAGCTTCGCGCCCAAGACTTGCAAAGATACCACAAAGGAAATTATGATTAATAACTGGCTTATTGGCATTCCTAGAGTAAAATGATGATTGTACGACCCAGGGAGGGGAAAATATTGGATATGTCGTCTTTGCATTACTTGATTATCATATTATTGGTGGTTTATTGAACCTTGAGCGAGACATGAAGAAAGCAGAGATTGATCCAAACACATGGGAAGAAGTAGCTGACATCAGAGTGTCCTGGCGACATGCAGTATCTTCAGAAGTCGGGAGGGCTGAGAATACCAGAAATGACCAGCAGGCCTTGAATAGAACCAGAAGGAAGACCAGGGCTGCCTCAATTGCAGCACCATCCTCCTTCGTCTGCGTTATTTGCAACAGAGACTGCCACTCCAGAGTGGGACTCTATAACCACTCGAGACGATGCTCCGCATCGACATAGCGCTACACCATCGTCTCCCGAGACGAACGGCTGCCAACGACGACGATTGAACCTTGAAGAGNAGCGAGACATGAAGAAAGCAGAGATTGATCCAAACACACGGGAAGAAGTAGCTGACATCAGAGTGGCCTGGCGACATGCAGTATCTTCAGGAGTCGGGAAGGCTGAGAATACCAGAAATAACCAGCAGGTCTTGAAGAGAACCAGAAGGAAGACCAGGGCAGCCTCAATTGCAGCACCATCCTCCTTCGTCTGCGTTATTTGCAACAGAGACTGCCACTCCAGAGTGGGACTCTATAGCCACTCGAGACGATGCTCCGCATCGACATAGCGCTACACCATCGTCTCCCGAGACGAACGGCTGCCGACGACGACGACGACGGTATCTTTTAGGGGTCAAATAGAGCTTAAGCCACACCCAGATTGCATGATCACTTTTAGGGGTTTAATTCAAATTTGCAGACAAGCATCCACTATCCTTTAAAATGGCGCCGGAGTCTCCCCGGATTCAACAGTCTCATATGAAGTGTGTAAATTCAGCCAATGAATGGCATTACCTGTGTATTATGTAAAAATGAAACCATTGAAGTTTATGAATTAACCTATTATACATGTGCTCCCTTGAGCTTGTTACACAAAGCTATCCATGAATTATTTTAAAAATACAAGTGTTGTTTAGTGCTGTTGATTCAGAGGTACCTGGAGTTCTTCACAATAATTATTAGAAAAATGTACATTTATATCATATAAGAAGAGTCAATTCTTTCAGGTGTTAAATTGACTGAAACTGATCAATAACACAAGCTAACTGAGTCACATTGTAACGTAACACTAATCTTTCTTATTAACTCAGACTTATGCCCTTGTGCATTCATTGTCATGTTCTCTGGATAAAGAAGGATTTTCCTTGCTCATTAAGTTCCATCTCATACAATGCTTGCTCTGTATACAGCAACTTACGAAGCTGAGCTCTTCTAACCTAAAACACAACAATTAAATTAAACATTATGAGATGCACCTGTATGGGTAGCAAGTCTTTAACCATAGAGAACAATGGACAACATAGAGTGTGTATTCAAACTAAAGGGGTGTCCAGATACTGTTTCCAAGCCTAAAGAGGCTCATCACAGACCTGACTTTTTTGACCTGAGATAGCTACACATACTGTAGATGTAGTTTGCCAACTGCATGGAGATGTCCTCGCACTTTGTTTTATTGGTACAATACCCATTTCTCATAATTATGCAACTTGACACAAAGGGAGGCCTTACCTAGATAATTGCATGTCAGTAACATGCAAGTTAAATATGTTGCCTAGACCATAGGTGTCAAAATTTATAAGGACTTATTAAGTCCTCGCCCCATAGTGTGATGAATGTACACGTACATGTATGTATGTGAACATCTACATTCTACTTTATAATAGTACAGTACTAGTAAATTTAGCCAGTGCACCACTCAGATGATTATCTTTGATAGATCTTATGCTCAAATCTGTGTTTTTAGTGGTTTTGGATTCCAAAAATTTAATGAACAAGTCAGAATTAATCATTCCGCATCCTTATAAAACTACAGTGTAACATTATTGACAGCCTGGCATATTTGATCATGACCAGCATTTTGCTCGATTAGTGTTGTGATATAACATGCAGTGTTTTCCTGCCCCCCAATCAGAGCACTGGATATAGTAAAGAAAAATCATAGATATACAGTGTATCCGCTGGCATTCTATACGAGGTAGCTAGGATTGAAATGTGTGGTTCCAAAAAATATCCATACTCCCCCCACAGAAGGGATTGGAATTTCCTGAAGGGTGGGGGGTTCTATGAGACCAAAAAATTTAAAGAGATGTACAAAGCTTGACTGGAATTTCCAGAGGGGTGCATGGGGAGGTATTAGAAAAAATCCCTTCTGTGGGGGAGGTATGGATATTTTCTGGAACTACACAATACCTTCCAGCCATCATTACAGTTTACTCTGGTTTTCATTATTTGCCCAAAAAGAACTACAGTAATAATTAAGAGTTCTGTTTAGACAATAATGAAAACCAGAGTAAACTGTAACGATGGCTGGAAGGTATTTCAAGTTTTCCAAAAGTCACTTACATGTAGGGTTTTATTCCACGCACCCCTTCAATTGTTTCATTAATATTTAATATTAATTTTAATTTCAGAGAACATGTCCCTCTGTGAATGCTAAAACATTACTACAGCACAGTGTTACTGCTAAATTGTAAGTGACTCCATATGTTTACATATGGAGGTATGATCTTGAATTTCATTAAATATTTACAATTTACTTACAGCTGTCAGTTCTTTATTAGCTAGAGATAGCTCTTCTTTGGAGTCAGCAGCCCATTGCTTTAGTATGCGTCTTTCACTATTCTGCGATATCAGATTTTCAATACAGATTAACTGTGGACCATATTGAAATGTATGTATACATGTTACATTATCAAGACTTTCAATTATATGAACTTTTATAATCCATCAAATATTTTTGCTTGCATGCAAATGGTCTAAACAAATTGTTATGTGACTGAATATTCCCCAGCTAAAACTGGGGATTGTATCCAAGGATATTCCCCAATTTTCAAACCTGCGTGCATTGTGAAATATATTTGAAGGACAAATAGGGAGTTTTCAAAATAAATAAAAAATAAATCACAGTTTTCCTCAAGCCACGGTCGCAGAAAACTGTTCCCTTCTTGGAATAGATAATGTCAGCAGACATATATCTGGGAGCATATTTTTGCACCAAATGGAGGCTATTGTTTATGTATATATATAAAGAAAAACCTGTCCTGTAAAAAAAAAATAATACGGTATGTTAATGCCTGCATGATTGTAAAGGTTAATACAATGTAACTACAGTTATTGTGCATGTACATTGTACTGAGATAACATTATTGCACATAAATCCCAAATTGTTCACATTAATTTTTTATGTCTTAGCTGTAGTCTTCATTCCTGTTCTATCATTTTTAATTCAATCACTTAATATGAATATCATATAAAATTATCATTACTGAAATAGTTTCTTCAACTAGGGAAAACATTCTAAGTTCTATATACCTCTTCCTGCTTTTCCATCCAGTCAGCAATTTGGTTGACCCTGATTTCACTGCAGAAGGAGCATACATGTACATGATTTAGTAAAAAAAAACATCTACAGCTGTAGCCTCTAACTGTTTGCTAACTGGGTCAAGTGCAGTACAGTACAAGACATCATGCAAGAATTAATGATAAAACACCTGTATGCAGGGTTCTTGGTAGTTTTTGGGTCAGGTGGTTAAAGAAATACAATACATAACAGGTGGCAAAACATAATCATTTCTTTATCTCTTACAGCGAGAGTCCTCTTACTTTAAGAGGGGTGACGGGGATGAAAAAGAGAGACCCTGGGGACAAGGTTGTTCCACTGCTACTACACACTAAACAACCTTAGGTTTAGGCCAGAACAGAAAGTCTGGCAGCTACTGCCGCCATCTACTTAAAAACCCATATATGAAACAGTTTTGATTGATGGCATACCTGTGATAATATTTTGCAAAACCTACACACTGAAGCTTTCCTCTACATGTACATGTAAGTTACTAAAAATTTCCAATGTTATTCACTTTCAAGGAAAAATAATTTTAGACTACGTGTACCTTGTAATGGTATATTTTTACTTTATTTTTTTAAATAAAATTAATGAGGACTCAATCAAATTATGATCTAGTGCAATAAGCTAGTCTAAAAGTTTGTTTAATAATTTATGGGGTTATGGGAAAGCAGTACTAACACATAACATACATGTATGTGAGTGTGATAAAGCATTTTCATGAAAAACAGTTACTGCATTAAGATCTGTAACTCAACTGTTTCAATCAGGTTGTCCTGTATTTTCATAGTTTAAGGTTCACTATTTACTTGTTCAATATTTTTAGTGTTGTGTTCAGATAAGAAAGCACTGGCCGCATACACTGCACATGTACATGTAGTTTGTCCTGTCATCAGTCTATTCCGACTGATACATGGTCATGTATATCATAGTCTTGAATGGCACTTTAGTAATCGGGGCACTAAGGGGCAGTTACGAAAAATTAGAACAGTCAGCTTACTGAAGGAGGGTGTCAAATTGAATTATCAAAGTAGACCATGGAAAACTGTTGTTGATTTGCTTTCAAAGTAGAAAGATAATTTAATTTATTCATGTACATGTGTATCAAATGAATGTCTTTCAGAATTTCAAAGAACCGGCTCAGAGCAATTCAAATTTAAAATATTCTAAAGGAACCATACAGTAAATATTTCCCTTTGGGAAAATTCTTCCCAGTTGTTTCTTCCATTTATTTCTCTACCTAAATATAAACAAACTACAGTCCAAAGTCCTGCATTAAGACAGGTGTGTATAGACATTTTCATTTCAACAAAGAAGGCATTGGGGAAGCTAATGCCATCTGGGTTTGTTTTACAACAGCTTTTGTGTGGAGGGTTCACAGGGGCTTATTTTTTAAAAAGGGCTACAGTCACCCCCGGAGTCACTAGCTTTTCCTTGAAAATTACATCATTAACCCAAACTACACTAAATGTAGTTCCATTCTACCCAAAAAGGCATTTGCAACATGACAGCATTCCTTTCTTTGTACTACCATCACGTTTTGTGACATTTTTGCCCAGGCATGCACATAAATCAAAATAATTTTCGAGTTTTTGGATGAGACAGTGACCTACGTCTTTAGGCTTTTGGGTTTTTTACTTTTTTTGACTTTCCTTTTTCTTCTTTTCTAATCTTTTTCCTGCAGTGATTGATCTTCTACTAGGCTTGCTCCCAGTTCAAAAATTTCTGAGAAAGCATCGGTGAGATGGGCAATTTTTACCATGGAGTAGCTTAAAGTGTAGTTGCAGGAAATTTTGCTCCCAGTTTTTCACTCAAATTTCTGATCATTTGTGTGCATATTTCAGGCTCCATTGAGCCGATCACTCTAATATGGATATCATTGGAAAGATCTTTTCCTCCTGCCAAACTTGAGTATAGATGATGTCCATTTTGGTCAAAGGTAATCAATGACATCAGAAGTGGAACAAAGGCCAACACTCATCACGGCCGGTTATGGCCGGCTGGCACATGAGTCAATGCTTTAAAGAGACAGGGCTTACCTCTTGACCTTTGCTTCCTGCTCTGAGTTGAACTCATCATTCTGCCAGAGAGAAATAAAACTATACAGGGTTATGAACATTTATTTCAGAAAGGGATCTTGCCTACTCATTTTTGCATGGTGGTCATTGAATAGTGCGCTGTTTTACATTGTACAGTCAACACTTCATAACATGATCAGATTAACTGCACTAGGTTGTACACCATCAACTCTCATGACCTAGTGCCCTGCTGAAAACTTCTTCAACTTTAATAGGAGATAAGTGCAGTTAAGATACAGCGCACATGCAAAGGTAGAAGATCTCTACTTGGTAAAAGCATGGAACAATTTATTATTGTTGTCATAATAGAGGCAGTGGTGGTGAATGGTCCTTGAAGTCATGTAATGATGTATTCCTCTTTCAAAATACGAGAATATATTTTCTCCCAACCAATATAATGAAGCAATGCCGTCTCAAAATTGCATTTAGTTTCCAAATAATTTATAATTATTATTTAGATAATATTTTTCTAGGAGAATCTCTCAAGAGAAACATATTATTAATTTTTGAGATTGGCCATGAAATTAATTGAATCGAAATATGTATTATGATATATGTTAACAGTTATAGTAAGTAGATAGTCGAGTGTCAAAGCTGAAGAGTTTCCCTTTTGAACGGGACAAGAAACTCGGTTCTGTCCTTGTGTACCGGTTCACAAGAACCGATACAAAAGACCCAGCAATGTTCAACAGCTAAACAAAGGTTTGTAAAGAAAGGAGTACAATGGTTATTCCCTCTGTGTACCGATACACCAGGACACAACCAGAAACTCGATCATGGGTGTTTTAGGCCCGGTTCATACGTCGCATTTCTGTCGTGTCAAATTCAATTCAACGAATTTAATTCGACAGAAATTCGACGTCTGAATCAGCTGCTGCATTTCTGCCGCACGTTCGACTGGTCTTGTCGCATTATCCGACAAAAATGCGACACCGGTTCAGACGTCGAATTTCTGCCGTGTCGAATCTAATGCATACATTATCTTAATGCATTGAGCATGCGTAAATGTGTTCCCGCCAAAGAAAAAGAAGAAACTTGGCCATTCTCAACCCAATGCAACCTGAACATTAATTGCAACACATACTGCTGCGTTATCAGCCTTCTCCTTCTCGTTCCATAGGCGAACAATTTTTAGCAAAATTAAAGTCCTTCGGCGCTCAGTATTTTCGTCCGCCATATTGAATACTCTACGTTTAAAACATTTTCCGCTGGCCGACATACCCGACAGTATAAATTCTGAATTAAGTGCGACGCAAGTGCGACGTATGAATCGACAGTCGCATTTCTGCCGCACTTAATTGAATTGAATTCGACACGGCAGAAATGCGACGTATGAACTGGGCCTTAACAAGCTAGTAGTCGCAAAAGAGCTTTGGAAAGACACTTCCAACTTTAACCTGATCATGCGTTAGTTAAGTTCAGATACATGTCTACAAGTTCTAGATGTACATGTATTTGAGTTTGTCTGTAGTACATGAGCATTCATGTGAAAGGCTTTAACAAATTTCCTAACGCTACAAGTACATGTTAGACTTGACCTTTAAATACATGTAAGCTTAAATTGTATAGACCTTTTCTAAAGAGGCTTCCGACAAATTAAATAATTGGAGATAGATAATAGAAAGAAAATTGAATCTTTTCCTTGCAGTTTACGAAAGGACAATGGATATAATCTGTATACGATCAGGCAAGGGCACAAAAGACAAAAACTGAATAAAGATCGATCGGGTTTTTTTAAGTTTAACTTCCACACACCTTGATCCTCTCTTCTTGCCTTTTCAGAGCTTTTCTTAGATTTTTCGCTCCAGGTCGCTCGACTTCGTATCTGTAATTCGTTGCCATAGACATGATGAAAAGTTAAAAGGGCAAAATCTCCAGGGAAGATAGAACTGAAAACTACAAATCCTAAAATCCTTCCACACTTTGTTTTGATCACAATGGCGACTACAATTAGCTAACAACAAAGCTTACGAGTTGTCCTGGCAACCATGCATTTAGACCCAGTCTTTCTCGATATTGAAAGTGAGAGCGAGGCCGACCTCTTGGGCGAGAAATGTAGAGGCAGTGTGTAGAGGCAAAATGAATTTTCTTACCTTGAAATCCCCACAATTGACAAAAGACTACAGTTGTTCCGCGTAAAAATAAATACGAATGGTATCATTCTGATACATGCATGTTTTATCTGCTTGACCGTTTATCTGGTGCAACTTGATCAAACAAATCAGAGCGTGGATTGAAATTTGGCTCAAGCGACCTTCGACTCAACCGACAAGATTTTTCTTCACCTTTTGATTTATTGCTAATTCAATGAAAACTTTTCGGCAAACGCTATACGTAGTGATTAGTTCTATGATGACTGTTTTTCAAAGAAAAGCACTGCTTCGGCGTAAATTTCCTTTTTTCATCATTTGTCTACATATTGTCTCAGGACTCTCAGCTTGTGGTTTAACTTTCCAAGTTTTGCGATCCAGTTTCTCCAAAAATATAAACTTAACAGCTATACTACTTAGCACTGAGTCGCAACCGGTTACTGATCCATGGTAGTATGTCAAATCCCTTTTCCTGATGTATAAAACAATGGCTATTTCACAGAAAACTATTTCGCAGAATATACCGGCAAATGGTTAAGAAAGAATCCACCAGAAGTTCGAGTAACAAGTGGTATTGCAAACTTCTTTGCGACTGTTTTAAATATCTTCTCAAAAGAAATCATTTCTAACAACACCAAATGTCGAAAACAAATTCTTAAGTTCATATGAAACACTGCAAAGTACTGGTAAAATGAAAATGATGATGAAATCTTTCTTGTGACTGCACAATTTCTCTGAACTTTGAAATTTAATTTCTCGAGTTCCCATAGCCCATTGCAAAAACGTGAGAGGACTGTGAAAGAGTATGGTTGTTTTCCTTTTGTTTGAAAAACTAAGATTCAAATGAAAGATCAACTAAATTTGAGAGTCTTAAGCAAGAATAGAAGTATTTAGAGAAGAAAATGGAAAAATGATAGCTCTTCAAATATCACCTAAAATAGAGAGTTTGTATGGATTGGTAGACAGGCCGGGCCACAAAATTTTAAGGGTTTGTATGGAATTTTGCAGCTTTTGCAAGGCTCCCATTTGGACAATCTTCCGCTGAAAACTCACAAATTTGACTGGGGAGCTTTTCATTTAGTAAACTTTTTATTTATGTTGAAATGTTTAGATTTCTAATCAATTTAAGAAACTCGCCCCAGTCCTCTCACGTTTTTGCAATGGGCTATGGGCAATTGTTTCTGGTGTTATTTCAGGCAACTGTTTATATTTTTAGCTTTTAGAAAATACAAAAAGGACGGTAATATACCTAAAGTTATTCTAGATCTGGTGCGAGATTTTAGTTTATTAAAAACTGAAATTGCCTGATTTTCTATCAGATTTCGTCTTAAACATTTTTAAGAGAGGATGAAGGGTCAGACAGTTAATCCCCCATTTTGGCCATATTCCCAAGGTAATCCCATTCAAATCATTTTTAAACTTGCTACCCAGTTATTATTTTCCAGTTAGACGGTTGGCTACCTGTGACAACTGAGGTGGAAATTTTTACTTGTACTTAGTTAGAATAGAACACTATGGTTTTAATCTACCGTGGGGATTATCTCATGCTCAAAAAGTATTTCCACTTGCAAAATGAAAAATTATAATGAACACTTCACGTATCTTTTATTTCTTTCGATTTATTCATTTAATCCAGATCAGGTTACACCATTTTTGTTTCATCTTCAGGACAGGCTCTCATTTCGCATATCTCTCCGTTGGCGTAACCCGGATCCTCATGGATTCTCTCGTACAAGCGACTATCATACTTCCTGCAGGGCAGAGGAACTAGGTTCCAGTCGATCATGCCCCGCCCTTTCTTGCACAGCCACTCGTTAGCACAGGAGAAGTAATTCTGGCAAAAGAAATACTTCCCATCTGCGTTTGGTGATGGGTGACCACCCTTGACGATGTAGTGCTTGCTTTTATCGATATTTTCTTCCTGCATTTTTGCATTGTAACCCCACAGAAGCCAAACTGATGGATTGGTGTTTTCGTTTATGTACTTGATAGCCTCGTGAGTGAAATTACTCCACAGATCGATATGCGATCCGATCTCGTCTTGAATCAAAGTCAAAGCTGTATTAAGCAAAACAACGCCTTGCTCAGCCCAGCTTATCAAGACTCCCACAGTGGGATCAACACAATACCCCCCGTTTCGGGCCTCGAGGATCACTCTCTGGACACTTGGGACTTTGGTGGGATGGACGGAGGGATCTAGACTAAAAGCGAGCCCTGTGGCTAACCCGGGTTGAGGAGCGGGATCTTGGCCTATTACAATGGCCCTCACTTCTTCAGGGGGAACCATGTGAAATGCTCTGAAAACCCATCCTATTTTTGGATTTATTCCCAGACCCTGGTCTTGAGAGTCGTATTGGAGTCTATCGGAGATTTCTTGCACCATTTCCTTGACGTCTTCTCGATCAAAGAATCCTTCCCATCCCACAGGCTTACAGGCTTCATCGTAGACAATCTCCATAAGAGTGTGCGTCTCATAGGTAGCGGTCTCCAGTAACTCCATGCACGTGTCATAATGAGACTGCTCGTCATTATTATGTGTTCTACCTGTTTTGTTTGAAGGAATTATCAAATTCAAACGTTTTAAGTATCTGTTATTAAGATGCAATAATAGTTATTCTATTAAATTGTTATTAACAAAGTACCGATAGATTTCTGGGCAGTGACATGAGGGCACTCGAAAATGGAAGAGAACGCAACAAAATGACAGCTAGAGAATCCTTAAATTTCCAGTTATTCAGTTTGCCATATTTTTTTGTTGTTGTCACACTCTCGGTAAATCTGTCACACATTTCACACTTTTCCCACAAGAGACCAAGTCATATACCACTACAATTAATTTGTCATACATTGGTCATATGGCAAGATTATATTCAACAGTAATTGAAACAATCAGGGAAGAAAAACCATTACCGTTTTTTATGTTTATTATTTTTTTGTTTGTTTTTTTGTTTTCTTTCGTTTTTGTTTTTGTTTGCCATATACAGAAACTATACACTTTTACACTCTCGGTAAATATTTTACACATTTCACACTTTCCCACAGGGGCCCAACTCATATACCACTTGATACCACTTCAATTTATCATACATGTGTCAAATGGCAAGATTATATTCAACAATGAGGTAAAACAATCAGTAAAGAAAACCATTACCACTTACCATCACATATGGTCAAAATGAAAACTGCTAGAACCAGAATTACAATCTTCATTTCTGCGAAGATTACGTCAGACTTGTACGCAAAGAAAACGTTAGGGCTGAAACAAGTTAAAAGAACACGTTTTTTAGCCACTGACAACTGAAGTAAATAATATCCTGTGAGTTGAATTCAGAGCGTCTCTCAGAATACGACAAATACGACATGTTACGATGAGAACATTTTCCATAAAGGTGTCGGTAAAATGCGATATTTGTTGGAACTCGGTGCCCTGGGCATGTCGCCAGGTTTCAAGATGTTGGAAGGAATTTGAAGTAGAGAGGGAAATAAATGTATAAATTTAAAGGAGCTGAACATGTACGGAGCACAGCTTTCCCAGAAAAGTTTAGTTTAAAATCTTTTCACGAGGTTTCATGAAATGCATCAATGCAGCATTGTTGATGAAAATCTGATTTATGACAAAACCGACAACAGATTATGATAGATGTGTAACCCGGCAGCAAAACGTGACAACCGCCATATATGTCATATATTGAAAAATGTACTTGAGGTAACATTTTTTCTTTGTAAGTTAGTTTCCAGTCGTTTGACGTTTCCAGACAAGTGAAACAAGTTCCTGGGGTTTAATTTATCTAAACCGTACCTTTTTATGTGATATTAAAAGAGAACTAGCCACAGGTAGAAAATGGCGTTGATCTTCATCGAGGGGGGTGAATAGGGGTATGCAAATCCGCCTATCCGTGCCTTTTTTTCACCAAATACGTCGATCCGCCAATATTTTTGTTCAAATCCGAAACCACAACCACATCCGGAAACAGAAGTGTAAAAGTTCAAAGGTAAACTGGTAAATGTGAATGCCATTGTTAATTTCGCACAAATAGTAAAGAAGGCAACATGCTTGATGACTATAACGCAGTACAATTCCAATAACAGTCTCACACCTGAGTTTAAACGAGCTTTGTTCGAAAAAAGAAATAATTTGGATGAGCTCATTAACATACCGACCAAGGCTGAAGAAAGATTTATGATCCAAATTTCGTTTAGGACCCAAGATCCGAACATCAAGACAGACACAATCCGGAATCCGCCCCAAAATTCACAGCCGATCCACGATCCACTGTGTTTTCAAAAACCGCGAATCCGCTTGATTTAGCACAAAAATCCACAATCCGTGCGCTTTTTAAGGCCAAATCCGTCGATCCGAAAACCTATTCACCCACCTCTTCATTGAAACGAGGTACAACAAATGGTTAAATTTCATCAAAGGCGACTCTGTCGTTTTACCAAGGAAATAAACTGTATTTCGAGGAACCTATTTACTGCTGTTACTGACAATAAATCCTCTCACCCGAATTCTTTAATCCTATTTTTTCATAAATACTTATTAAAATGTAATAGCATTTCACTCTATATACAGTGTACACCGGCTTTCGTTTAGAATACTGAATTATGTACCATTGAAAAAAGGCTTTGCAGATGAAGCATAAAATGTTTAACATTGTTCTTTTACAAGCTATCAAATTTAGATAAAGGACGTAAGGTAAAAACGGCCTCCTAAAATGCTTTCGTTTCAATTATGCTTTGTAAAATGTTGATGAGACCCCTCAAATCGTTATTAGTCAATTATGACTTGCGAAAGACACGTCAGCCTGAAGCATGAATGAATTTTCATCTACATCGACAAAGGCTATTTTCTAGTTACTTGTCAGTCAGAAAAGCAATAACTCGATCTAAAAGAAATATTTATTTGCTTTTGAACTTGCGTGGCAACCAGATCAACATAAAATGCAGTTAAAGTTGATCTGATGATCTTAGGTGAACGCTTGCTTAAATTATTTTTTTATGATTTTTATATATATATATATATATTTTATTTTTTTGCTTGTTTAATTTATGCTTTTGATTCTGACGGCCAGTCTTTGGAAACTTACAAGTTGTCCTTGACAACCGACCTTTCTTATACGAAAAGTTCTACGTATTTCTAATCCCGACGAACAAAATAGCTGCCTTTTTTTACTACCAAAGCGCTACCTATTACATCTAACACCTTGTCCTCTGGAATCTCGATACTCTGTTTAATTTGGTTAATCAAAGTTCTTCGTGAAGGAATTTTCTGAGTCGCAGCTAAGATTAGGCAGCTCCTTTGGTACCCTCTCTACCGATCCCTCTGACACGCGACGTCGGGAGAGAGGGTCTCTGGGAGTTAAAATAATATAGCAGTAGTAGAAGGGAAATTCGGTATTTCTAATACCTTACGTGAGGACAGTATACGGAGCTTTTATAGCTCATTTCACGTGGCAACGAAAAGGAGCTATCTATATATAAATGATAAGTCGCCCTCAAAATCTTTGCTTTTTAGAAGTATAGAATGATATGCGTCAAAGAAAAGTACGTGCTCAGCTTAAAGAAAAATGAGAAATGCAATCGTTGAGCACCAGTCCGAAATTATCATAGCCATCAAGTAGAAATATCGATTTTATTTTAGACCAGTCGGTATGTCAACTTTTTAACACGTTATTCTTTCAGTATTACTTTTGTAAGAACGAGCAATTGATAACATTTGATCAAATCGTGTAAAACCAACTCTCGATCACTCTTGCCAGGAACAGTCCCGGATTTAAAGTCCATTGGTGTTCAGTAGTTATAAAAGCTATAAACCCGTCGTTTGCCAGTGTAGCCATAACAAATTTTAAAACTAGCTGCAAATTCCTTCTTCGGCCTACTGTAGGTTGGTCCTTACCTCGTTAACTGAGATAGCTCGGGACGACCAAATCGATTACCAAAAGATGAAAAACCTAAGTGCCGGTCAGAGAAGTGAATTCTTACCTTTTGCCGCAATAACCTTGTGGTTAGACTGGAACGAGACACTGGAACAACAAAGAACTGCCGACCCTCCCTTATGACCATTCTCATTTAAAGCCGGAGAGACACGTGGGTTTTAAGCAATTACGTGAATATGCTACCTAAGCTTTTCAACCAATGGTAAATCACCACGTGCTTCTCTTGCCTGACTACTCAAGATCTGGGCACGAAATTGCCAATTTACTTCGGGGAGGGCTAGACCTTGTGTGTCAGCCAGCTGCAAGCAAACATTAATCTTAAGCGAAGTTATTATATTTTACATTTTACTTCTAACAGTTTTTGTTGGGGTGAAGTACAAGGTAAAAAACAATTTGTTTGAAACAATTTCCTTTTTCAACTAAATATCTTGAGGAATACCCTATTTATAACTTTCTTCATGTGAGAAGACGCAATTAAAATGAGTGCTGCGTTAGTGACGCTTTGATAACGAGGTATCAAAAAACATGGTCTAAAAGGATATGCGATTTACAAACATTTCTCTTTGAAACTTTATATCGATATAGAACAGAATTAGTGATCAAAGTTAATGTTGTCAGAGCTAATCCAAAAATATCTAGATTGTTAATTTATGCATTTGAAGAAGACGCCTTTTTCAGAAGCTCCATAAGCATAGCTTTGTAGTTATAGACGTTGTCTAGAACAACCAGGGTTTTCTCGTTCAATGCACTTCTTAATCAAGATACAATTTTCAAAACTGTACTGTTTTTACTATGGACATGGACTAAACCTCTGTTCACTGAATCTCCTCGTACATTTCGAATTTTCTCTTAGTTGATTACTAGACGACTTAAGTTATGAATTGAAAGAACTTAACTGAATAAAACAGTAAAAGTGAGTATGGTTAAATTTTTGCACCTTTGTGTCATATGTACTTCTAGTGGGTTCAATTTTTAATGGGACATAAGCTACATATAAGCTGCTGTTTAAAAAACAAACAAACAAACAAACAAAGAAACCGGCTTAAACTGAAAAATGAAAATTTGGATCGTAGGCAAGATGTGCAGCAATTTACATTCTCAAACTCATTAATTATTCAACAAGTTTAAACAAAGGAAATCATGACTGTGACGGTGTTTAATTTGGATATCTGATCTTAAGGACGTTCGCGCGAAAATTTTCCAGTCGATAGATTTTTTTTTTAAATTTTTACTGCAGTCAGATAATGAATTACTTGTGTCAGAAATGCAAAAAAAAAAAAAAAAAAAAAAANTTTTACAGCAGTCAGATAATGAGTTACTTGTGTCAGAAATGCAAAAAAAGTTTGGGGTCGCCGACTTCGTTTCAGAGATAGAGCGTGTGGAAACCTACCCTGATTTTGAAACATTGGCGCACGTAATTCAGCAGCATGCTTTACAGGGGGTTATAGTTGAAATATCGAAGGTGAGTCAACGGAGGCAAACGATCTTAGTCATATTTTGTAGAAGTAGGTCTGTTGCGTAAATAATTCCAAATTTTACCAATTTTTTCACAAAACTTAACCCTTTAAGAGGCATTTGAAACCGTCGCACTGATAAACGGAGAGCTAAAAAGAACGGAAATCGATGGTGCATTTTGCAAAAAATTCCAATTTCTAGGCAATAGATTTTCTTCATTTTTTCCCTAAACGTTGAAAATCGGTGGAGAAAATGATCCATCAAAAGAAAAATAGAGGTCACCGAGCGTCCAAGACCGTTTAATCCAGGCAAAGCTATAGCAATGGCCATCTGCCCTATCATTGTTCATTTTATTACTACGTACTACCAGCAGGTTCAATTTTTAGTGGGACGTAAACTACATATAAGCTGCTGTTTCAAAAACAAGAAATCGGCTTAAACTGAGAAATGAAAATTTGCATCGTGGGGAACATGTTCAGCAATTAACATTCTTAAACTCATTAATTATTCCCAAGTTTAAACAAAAGAAATCATGACCGTGACAGTGTTTGGATATCTGATCTTACGATTCTATTTCTCCGTTTTCTCGTTAGTTTTAGTTTCGATTGAGAAGATATATCAAACACTCGAAAGATAGCTCAAAATCTGTCGTACAGATTTTTATTTTACTTTGCATGAATGTTAAATTAGAGCAAATTTCTTATTCCTGAAATTTTGAGGTGGTGTCATACGGGTAGAGTTTGAGAAAAACGTGATTTAACCTAGTAGTGCCCAGTCTCTCCTTAGGTACTCGGTCGTTCATTTTGGCCATTTGTTGACGTTTAATCGTTCAAGTTTCACAAAGAATGGTAAAAGACTAAAGTAAACAGTAAACAGAGAAGAGGAAAACATCTTGGAACATTTTTCAAAAGAGTTAGAAGTTGGGCTGTTATAATCCATCAAAACTGTAGTAAGCCACCTTAATTCAAAATACTTTGATGGGGACTGAATGCAGGATAGGAAGTTGTGGCTAGAATCAGCCATCAGGTAAAGATTGCACTGAGTAGCACAAACTTCATACGCTTGGCGAGGTGATTCAACGATAACTTTCAAAGGTTTTGCAAGTGGATTCAGAGTTAGTTCCAGAAACACTGCTTCTGAAATTTATTCAGAATTTATTAAGCTATGGGTTCCGCATATCTCTGTATTTTGCTAAACGAAAACTTTTGCTTGAACGCTTAATAGAAACCAAATTCATTCATCATGTTATGCAGGCTTTGAGCTAAATGAATCTTAAAACTACTGATAAGCTAATAGTAACTCGAAGGAAATCTTTTCCCACTTTTGTAACAAGTCTAACAGTTCCAAAATGATCATTCTAGTCCAGCAGTTAACAGAACTGCGTCCTCCATAGACCATCAAAAGCACTAAAAGCGCTTCAAACTTCCCCCTAAACTCAAGCGTAAACGGAATCGGAGTAAAATGTTTGCCATGGAAAAAAGAACAAGCATTGATTATATCACGATTTACTTCTGATCCTGTTTTTGCTTACACACTTCCGTGTGCTGTATATGTTGAATGAAAAGATATTCATGAAACTGGTTATTATGTTCTCGCGACTATTTTAAGTTCTCTAATTTCCCCGTAGTGCTGCCATATAAAATAAACGATAGGGCTTTGACCAATCAGAGCGCGCGTAGCATCTCAGTTATTTTCTAATCTCCAAAAAATAACTCTTGAATTTGTTTTGTTTAATCATTTTATTTGTTTCCATTATTATTTGAACCTATTACCAATCAAACGTTACCATGATCTTAGATACATGTAACTAGATGCACCTCTGCATGAAAAATGAAGATTTAACTTTAACATAATTATGTGCCCATATTCTTTCAAGCAGTACTTCGATAATTGGTGCATACGAGAGACCTGATTTTAAAATGCAGGACAGGGTTGCATTTCACATTTCGACCTAACGTAAAAGCCTGGTTCTGATTTTCTCCAGCCATATATTTGGCTTGCGTGCTTCTCGCACGGGATAGGAGCCAAGTTCCAGTCTATGGTGCCCCGCCCTTGCTTTTTCAGCCACTCGTTAGCACAAGAGAAGTAATTCTGACAGAAGAACTTCTCGGCAGGCGCCCTGGGTGATGGGTGGCCCCCCTCCACAATATAGTGTTTGCTTTGATCGATTTTGCTTTGCAGGTCTTTTGCTTTGCTACCCCAGAGAATCCAAACTGGTGGATTGGTTTTCTCGTTAATGAACTTCATCATTTCTCAGCTGAAGTCTTTCCACAGTTTTAAGTGCGAGGCAATCTCCCCTTGAATCAATGTCAAAGCTGTATTCAACAAGAGAACGCCTTGCTTAGCCCATTTTATCAAAACCCCGTGGGTAGTATTAACACAGTAACCTTCATTTCGAGCCTCAAGGACCACCCTCAAGACGCTCTGGACAAGTCGGGGATGTACCGAGGGATCTAGACTAAAAGAGAGCCCTGTTGCTAGCCCGGGTTGAGGAGCTGGATCTTGACCCATGATTATGGCCTTCACTTTGTCAGGAGGGACCATATTAAATGCTCTGAAAATCCATCCTATTTTTGGATTTAGTCCAAACCCTTGGATTTGAGAGTCATTCATGAGGCGATCGGATATATCTTGCATCATTTCCTTGACGTCTTCTCGGTTGAAGAATTCTTTCCATCCTACAGGCATACAACTTAAGTCGTATATGATCTCCATGAGAGTGTTTGTTTCATAGGTGGCGGTCTCCAGTAAAGCGTTGCACAATTCGACATGCACTTTTTCCCAATTGAACGACCTTTTTTGGGCTCGGCCTGTGAGATATCAAAAGAAAGGAAGAAATGAACGTGATTTTGTTATTGTCCCAGATGTCTCAAATAAGTAATTCTCAAATAAACTGGTTAGTGCTCAACATCGCTAATCATAAAAATGCGTTAAAAATAAATTATGAAGCGGTTTGCAAAAGTGAAAAATCGATGAAAGAGCAGAAATAATATTTAGAGCGGAATCGTTATCGATCGCAGAATTTAAGAGTTCAAGATTCCCGAGAGTGACTTGAGCAGTTTTAAGTAAAATACCTAAAATCTACTATTTAGACCATACTGCGATCATTTCACTTCAAAAGTCGATTCCATCCTAAAAGAAACATGGAAGCTGCACAAAGCAAAAATTCTACTTCTTGCAACTGGACGAAAACACGTGCAGGCCCATGAGATGACAATAGGTACAAAAATGGCAGAAGCAGCTGAGCTGTACTTCTAACCCGGGGAGAGGTATACTCCCAGAAAAATTGGGTAGGGGTGTGCCGCGAGCTTCTTGAAATCCTTACCCTATTTAAGACCAAATTAAATGTGCGATTTTTCCTCCCCTATTTCAGATCTCACCCTTATAAGAATGCAAGAATACGCTATTTCAGATCTGCCTTAAAATTGGATCCCTAGTCCATACCAATGTTTATATGCTTTAATAAAGTAGGCTGCAAAACTGTCCTATATACGCTGTTGATGGTCTTTCAAATTATAATTATGAAGAAGAGGCTTCTTCTAAAAAATACCCAATTCAAGTGTACGAGCCATACCCTACTTCAGACTAAAAGAACTCGAAAACCATACCCTTTGGCGCCGCACATACATATATATCCCATCTAAGAGAGTACCCCCGAAACTTCTAAGTGGTGTTGCTTGTTCTATTATGTGCAAGTGAACAATTAAATTGGGAAGCTTTCATATTTTGAAGTTGGGCGCTATAGATTTTGGCAGTGATTTCGTTTGACATAGATGACTTACCATCACAGAGAGCCAAAAGGCAAGCTGATAGAATAAAAGCCACGATCTTCATAGTTGATCAAGATGGTTTCAAGACGATGGATTTAAGTGAAGAAATAACATTATTTCTTAAATTTTATGTTTTTAACCATCGAGTGAAAGATATACTACGCTTACAACACACTAATGTAACAAAACGCTTTATGGGCTGGCAGCGTAGCACATATTAAAATAAAATTATTCGACTGTAAAAGTCTAGAGATACGCAACCCGAGCATGAAACTTTTTAACTAGTCTTGGTAATAGACCCTTTTCATAAATGGCTGCCAATTATAAATTCTTTTGTAAATATTAAAATTAGCCTGACTAATCTCGTTCTTGAGTTGATAATTCAAAAGAATTTTTACTCCCAAACGAGTTTAGTGAGGCCAATTTAAATACATACAAAATAATTTTAAACTGGCAGCCATTTATGAAAAGGGTCTACATGTATATTTTAAAGACTTGGGCCTTGTTAAATGTTTTTAAGGAGAGCCAAAACAAGACTTTCTTGTATTTTACGTCGATCTGATAATCAGCGTACCGAACTGTTCTTTTCTATTGTTTTTTCTATTGTGGCGCGCGGGGGAGGGGGGGTCGGGGTGAGGGGAGGCTGGTGGGTCTGATAAAAGGTGCCTGTAATATATAATGACCCTCCCTCTACATTATTTGTTTTTTCACCTGCCCCAACCACCCCCTGCTTAAAATAGTGAATTAAAATCAAAACTTATAAGGCTAAACATAATGTTAAGTTACGGTTCTAAGTGATAATTAGTAGCCTTATAGTACTTGAAGTGCAATGATTAAAGTAATCTGTTAAATGTGAGGTTATATTGCTGCTGTTGAAAATAACACCTGTTGCCTTGGATCCAAATGACCGGGAACTTAACATTTTCAACGAAAACGACAACAGCTTTTAATCTGTAAAACATATTTTTGTTTTCGATGTAGCTCATATATCATTAATTACAACAAAGTTTGAAAAACTGTTTGAATTTCTAAAAACCTTCAGATGTTTATGCTTGGAGAGGACTCAACTGAAATCGCCAAAGGACTAAAAATTGCGTTAGAAAGGACTTAAAACGCTTCCCCCTGTCTTCCTTAATATGAAAGGGTCGCACAAGATTTTTGCTCCCTTGTCACTTAAAGACGATGCCATAACCGTAATGACTGATGCCAACTTGACAGTAAATATCGGTGAGAATTTGCATATTTTAAACTCCTTTGTACTAATTAGAAAGGCTCTACTTATTTCACATGACGTCAAGGCAGCCATATTGGTGTTCCAAAACAATGAAAAAGCCGTCATGTTGGTGTACCAAACCAATCCTTTGGTGGTTGAACTCTTTTCTAATGTAAGCACTTGCTTTAGTTCGGGAGTGGAAACTCATTGTACCTGAAGATTTTTTTTTCCTACATCACGTTTCGTTAAGACTAAAGGCCTGTCCAAGCGGTAAATGTTTGGCGACCAAACATCATCAAACATTGTTTGGTGACCAAACATGGTGGTGTTGAAGTGAGTGGCAAAGCGGTTAAAACACGCTTGATCAAACACAGATCAGACTATGGTATGGGCCGCACTTGGGAAAAGTTTTCATCTTTGCCGGCTAAAAAACCACAAAAATTTGAAACCGCAACCGGAAAGGAAAACTTTTAGACAGAAACGGAGGGTCGCACTAGTGGGAGATAATTGTCAGTACCAAATTTCAAATTTATTTGCTTGGCGATGTCATCCCAAGCTTTGCGGGCTTGACTGCTGTTGATGCGATCGAAATTCTCGGCCCACAGTTTGATTAGCATTTTTTCGTCGTTATCTGACCACCTTTTATAAGATCGTTTTCCAGTATCAACGGGTTCATGATTAGGAGACGATTGGGAAGACGAAGACGACGACGCTTGTGAAGCTCTTGCTTGCATGGACCTGGCCTGTAGTGTGTTTTCCTGCGCAATGCTCGTATGTGAAGTGCTCGGTTACGTTCCCCTTCCAGTCATATCATGGTAGACGGGAACATACTGCGGGTATTCCATGCTATCGCCGTAAAAACCATGAAAACCTTGAAATTGTGCGGGATTATAATAATAACCTTGTCCGTTCATGATGAAAGACCGCGAACTAGAACTGAACTTCCCGCGCGTATCGTTTTTCATGTTACGCTGACAACCGTTGACAGTTAGCGCTGTGATTCCCGTTGTTTGGCTCGACTTTTCGCAAATCTGCCTGCCCCGCCCAAGCACTACGGCGTCTTTGATGTTTTGCCGATTCGCAAAGTTTTTGCTAAAGCGAAAAACCTGCGGTCGCACTAGGCAAAGGCGCGCGATGACAGATTTCCACCGCAAAGTAAACAAATTCTGGCAAAGATTTCCCAAGTGCGACGCGTACCTATGGATACAAGCCGCTAAGCAAGCGTGGTACGCATGCGCGCGCCAAACATGTTTGATAGGGCTGTCCAAACGAACAAAACATCGCCCATCAAACACGAGAACAAAAGAAATGGTTTAAGTTGTTTGATCGAATGTTTGATGCCCTTCAAATTTTATCAAACACGGTCAAACAGCACCAAACAAGGTGGCCAAACGGTAAAATGTTTGGTCACCAAACAATGTTTGATGGTGTTTGGTCACCAAACATTTCCCGTTTGGACAGGCCTTAAGATTAGTATATCCACACATTTTGCGCCAAAATGTTCGAGTCGAACATTTAATGAATTATTAGTCCTTGATATACACTATTATTCCCTACAGTTATTTTCCAAAATTTCATTTTTTGGCGAGAGGATTTCTACTTTCAGGAATAATTAATCACAACCATTTAATTTTATCTCTTCTTTTGGTTGTTATTACTTTTGGAACGTAATCGCGCAAAATGGTGAAAATGTGAAAAAGGAAAAGGGAAAACTGGCTAAAAACTGTAGTTTATTATAATCCTCTTGAAAAAGACACTTGATAGTAAAGTTGAATAACTACATATGTAACAAGAGCAAGGCTTTTGTGTGACTAACACTATAAGTGACCTTCCATAATTATAAGTTGACGCGTATGCTTGCAAATAGCTGGGAGAAAAAATTGGTTGTCTTGGACTCCAAAATCACATCTTTGTACTGATTGCTTTGAAAAGGTTGTACCAGACTTTTGACTGTTCATAAACTTTATCTCAATATGCTGTACACAAAAGTATAAATGATTTTGCCATTCAAAGCTTTTTTTTTTCGCTTTCTTGTACAATACGAAAAATACTAAAATTGCATCCACCAATATTCTTCATAAAAATTATAACAAAATTGTCGTTCAGTCTTTTTTACTACATTGTGTCTACCTGTATTGCAAATTCATGATGACATTCGATTAAATTTTGCCTTTGTGACTATATGTGTGCATATATATATTCTGTATTTTCTTTCTTCGCCAAGAGGCAAGCTCCTTGTTTGTGAAAGATCGTTTTTGTTTCTTGTACATCGATGTAGTTTTGCGGTAGTTCTTTCTATTGGCGAAAACTTCAAGGTTAGATCCGAATATGATACTGCTATTGTCTAGCACGAACAGTTCAATAGGGTTTGTACAACCATACATTAGCAAATTAATCAACAACGTAACGCACATGAAGTAGTCCTGAGCGGATTGTTTGAAGTTATGTCAAAAAAAATTATCATGGTTATTGTTTATAAAGTTATTTTCTTTTTTTGTGTTTTTTTCCCTCTTAAAGCTCAAACTGTTACTTATACATATCTAACTAACAGAAAAACGAAATAGATGATGGCTTTTCATATGCACTTTAATTTAAGGACTGTTTGAGGAACCTTAAAGTCTAATGAGTAACTGTCATATAGACATGGGTGGTCTTAATTTCCAAATGCGCACATTTACAAGTTGAATACGCTTCACCATCAAATAAAAGTTATAGAATAGGTGGTTTCTGTTGAAAAACATTTACCTCGTACTCAGAGCAACATGCTATTAGGAAAGTTACTGTAAATGGCTATATTGACCAATACTGAATAGTTTAGAAGTTTTACCATGAACCGCGCTCCATGCATCGCATATCGAGACTAGTGAGATCTGACTTACCTTGGGTGTCTTTGATTAATTGTATCAATGTCTACCGCAACAAAAGATGTCCTATTACAAGAGATCCTAATACAAGACAAAACCTACAGAAAATAGATATATAAGAGATTATTTTTTAGTTGCACTTTGCTTTTTTAGTACAAGAAACAAATTCGATATACGATCGTAGTCAGTGTCAAAGTTCTCCTATCTTACTTCCTCTGGCAGAAATACAGTCCGAACCGAGTCAACTCAACAATGGGTGTGCCATGGGTTGGACCTGATGTGGCATTTCAATCCGCTGTCGATGACACTTCGTCTTTGGTGATTGGTTGCGTTGATATGGCGTGACATTTCAAAAACCGGATATTGGTAAAAGCTGTTCAAAACCCTTAACAACGGCGACTGTTTTTAACGAGAATTCAATAGAAGCCCTGGTCTAATATTTAAACCTTGTCATAAAAGTTTTCTGTGATTAACTTTTGTCAGGCTTAGGCCCACGACGTCATGGCATTCCATGTGTTTAGATGTTTGGTTGTTTGGTTGTTTGGCTGCTATGGTGGGTATACGCCCAGGGTATACGGCATTGAAACGTGACACGCCAGCACAAAGCAGCGTGGCCGCTGAGTGGAATGAGCACTAGTAACTTCATGGGGGTTCGTGCACGCAAAGCTTTTAGCCAACAGTTTGCCGCTGAGGAACCAAGAAAGCCTCTTAGACGAGTTCCCTGAATAGTAATAAGCTATTTGATCGTGTTTTTCTTTTTAGTTGACTAGTATTTGGGACTATTGACTCGTATGCTGGCAATATTGACTTCCATTATTCTCGGTAATTTTCTAAAGGCCGAGGCGTTGTTAAATTTTTTTTTTAATGGAGAGCCAAAACAGGGCTTTCTTCTATTCTTTTAGTTGATCTGATAATCGGCATACGGAGCTGTTCTTTTCTGTAGTTCATTAATTACAACAACGTTTGAAAAGCTGTTTGAATTTCTAA